TGAACCAGCTCGACGCCGAGCTCGTGCGCTGGCACGACGAGCTGCCCTCGGTCCTTACATCCGCAGAGCCCGAGGCCACGGTCCCCGAGTTTCTGCGCACGCCCCGACTCATCATGAAGTGGCGCTACCAAAACCTGCGGATCCTCATGCACAGGCCGTACCTCCTTAGCGTGGCGCTTCGGGGCGTGAGTTTCGCCGCGCTCCCCGCCGATGAAAAATGCGCCGTCGGGAAATGCCGTGTCCTCGCTAGCCATACCATCCACGACATCGCGTCCGAGTGCAAGGGGGATCTGATCAGTGGGTGGAACGGCGTGTGGATGATATTCCAGGCGTGCTTTATCCCGCTCGTCAGTCTCTTCTACGATGTCGATAACGAGGAGGAGGTGAGGAAGTGGCAAGGGCAGATTGAGCGGGCGTTGGACTACTTTGATAGGATGAGGGGGTGGGCGGTCGCGGCGGAGAAGAGTCGCGCGGCGGTCGAGGGGCTGTTTGAGGCGAGTAAGGCTTGTAATGCGGCAGCGGCCGCTGCTACTGCGGTGGTGGTGGAGGAACAAAGAACCGCGATGGACGAGCCACATCCTGAGCTTACGAATGGGCATCACGCGGATGGTCGTGTGGCGCAGAACGCCGGGATAGGGAGCCCGCATCCGGGTCAGCCGAGTCTACTTGGGCACGGTGAGCACCATCATTCGCTCCATGGGCAGAGTGGTGGTGGGGGCTTCAATATCGGTGCCGTACCGGCGGGCGTAGGCATGGCGGCCAATGTCTGGCCTGAGGCGCAGAACGACCATCTGGGAAACATGAATGGATTTTGGGATGACATGATGTGGGATACCTTTCCCACAGTCGGAGAAACGCAATTTGGTGGGACAGGGGAGTTTGGGTGGTCGGCGGACGGAGCGGGTGGAAATGGAAACGGTAGCGGGGGATGGAGTATGGGCGCTTGAGGCAGCAAAGAGCTAGCACAAAAGCAGCGAAAGTTCGGGTTCAGGCGTTCTGGTGAGAATTGTGGCAGACGGCTGAGTGTGTGTTCCGAAGGTAATCCTGCACCATGGTGATGTTTTGCCCAGCGTTTCTTCACAGGTAAAAATGCATCTACAGGGCAGGCGTCGAGATCGAAAGGTACCCCGGACGGACCTTGAGACGTATGGAGCATTGCTGTAACGAACACTGCACGGCTGTAAGGAATCCGCTCCGATTGATTTTTTGCTTCATCTTTTCCGCTCTCCGTGTTGCCGAGATAATTGCTTCTCATTCCCTTAGGGAGCGTTCTGTCGGCGGCGTATGCTCAATGTTCGCTGGCCACACAAAAGCCACAGTACAAACTTTCGCTAATACGAAGGATCTGCGTATGTCTTGAGCGAGTGCGCCGTCCGACAAAACTGGATAACGATAGCGTAATTCTGCTTCAAAATACTATCCAAGCTGTTTGACGGAGGGGGTCGGAGCGTGATGGCAGTTGCCGTGCGCTCGGTTAAGGATTGTGCAATCCTTCGAATGCAAAGCCGTGTAGTACCTGCGTGAGTTAGTCGAATGAATGGTATGGGAGGGAGAGGCTTCGACAAGAAGTCTTCGTGTTCTCGACGTCAAAGCGTGGCACTACTTGCTATGTGGATCGATCATCCACCGCTCATTGCAGAAAGTAGTGATCGTGAAATAGGACAAGCAATGGGGCGTACTGGAAGCAGCGTCGTATGCATTCGGACTGATTCGGAAGCGTGTTGCTACGTAGATATGTCGCGATTCGGGCGAGTCGACTGACTGATGCTGTAATCTTCGAGGTGGGGACTTAGGACGGCAACAACAGCGACAGTCTGGTAAGTATCTTCAATCTACTTGCCAAACCCTTAGCATGAAAGGTGTTGAAATCTGATCACATCTCTTGATTACCTTCGTGTTCCTTGAGCCATGGTATTGCTGGCAGAATACACCCAATTCATGGCCAGTGATTACCTCCGTGAACAGGCCGTCTCCACGAGCATCCCACGGGCAATAATGAAGGCCGGCATAGCCATGCCGACTGTGAAAGTGCAAAAAATAAGAGATCAGCTGCATTAACTGGGAATCGAACCCAGGGCTGGCCGATGGCAACGGCCAATTTTACCACTAAACCATTAATGCTTTTTGCTTGATTGGTGAATACTGGAGAAAGTTTCATGTTTATGGATGTATTTGCAACATCGCTAGTGTGGAAGGAAATGTGCGGTGGCGGAAGTGGGTCTGGCGGACTCGCCGAGCCACATCACGTGTGATCAAGGCTTGTGAATGATGGAAGGATGACTTGAAATAAGGAAAACCAAGTCGGAGCTTGAAGTGGAACGGAGACTATTAGAGTTCTGACATGAAGTGTACAGTGTCGACTTGTGTGAACAGAAAAAGCATTCTCTTCATGAGACCTGGATCCTAGGATACGGCCTTTGCAGCGAATTTTGTCCCTCGTAATGTAGTCCGCTTGAATGCAGTCATCGGTGATGAGTAGCCGCAATGCCTCTATCGCAAACACAAACTAAACTCCAATACGC